TATGACCCAATACTGTAGTTTTCTTCAACTGTAGAATATAGCTGTAGTTGCTGTGGTAAAATGACAACATTGTTAACATAGCAACTATAGAACTACCAACAAGTGTCCTATAGTTGCTATGGTAACACAACAACTATAAAAAAAGTGAACAAGTAATAAAGTCTCTTGTATGTTGGAAACCCTTGAACAGAGAGATTTACAGCATTCAAAGCCAATAAAAGGCATCAGAAGTTATAAAGTTCAACACTGCATGATTAAACATTGCAAATTGTTCTATGTAGTACAAAACAAGATATCGACCCACCAGTTGAACACTTGTTAGTGTCCTAAAGCGAAGCACATTCTCTCCAATTTGGTTGCTAATACAGTTCGTTACTGTTACACTGTGAAGCTGAGAGACATTTTGTTCCATCATCATCATCATCATCATCATATTTAGCATGAAAACAGCATAAAGACTAAAGCTCTGTTCCAAAACCTGTATAAGCTGTTCATTTACACACGTCTGAAACAAAACCAGCAATAACAAGTCAAACTCTGAATGAATATTTAATATGCAATGTTAAAAACAATTTAAAAAGTCAAACCAGATATACATTTAGCTTACAGATCACCCCAAAAATGAAACTGCTCTCATCATCGACTAACACTAAAGCGGTTGCAAACTTTTATCATTTTGTTGAACTTAAAAAAAGAAGATATTATGAAGAATGCTGGGAATAAAAGACTCCATAGTATGAACAAAAATACTGTAGAAGTCAGGTTCTATCATTGCGTTTTGGGTGGTTTTGAAACAAACCTGAAGTTTAAGAGGAAAAAAAAGAAATTTTGAAAAAGTCTAAACTTTTTTTAAAAACATAAATAAACTCAGAATTATAAAACAGTCTCAGTTTGGAGCAAAAAAAGAAACAAACACAACAAGCAAAACTTAAAGACATAGGATGAAAAATTAATACATCTGTGATTGTTAGAATCTGGGGAAAATTCCCTTTGGGCTTTTTTTGTCATTGCGTTTTGGTTGGTTTTGGAACAAACCTGAATTCGAAGAGGAAAAAATAAGTTTTAAATAGAAAATTTGCAAACTTCAAAAAACAAAATGTCATTTAAACTGCAGGAAAATGTCAGTGTTTGGGATTCAACATCAATTGTGAGATTTAAACTAGTGGAAATTGTTTAATATCAACAAAATAGTGAGACGCTATTAGCGAGATTCTGAAAAAAAAGAAAACATCATAAATAAACTCCGAATTCAGAGCAAAAAAGAAAAAAACTTAAAGATGTAAGATGAAAAATTAATGAAGGAATACATTTGTGATTGTGAGAATCTCATGAAAATTCACTTTTAGTGTGTTCAGAGGTGAAATAAAAATTAAAGAGCAAACTGTCATTAAAAATGCCAAAAAAAGTAGGATAAAGCGGTCTAAAAATGTCAGAAAAATACAAAATATAAAAGAAATGATCTGCAAGATTTGCATTTCTGAATAAAAAAGTCAAGAAGTCAGAACTGTGATATTAACTATAAATTCACAACTGCAAGACAATTCTGAGGAAAAAAAGAGAAGATTTGTAACCAAAACTCAACACTAGATGATGAAAAAGTCAGATTTGTGACTGATAATCACTTTGGGATTGTTTTTATTATTGTGTTTTGGAACAAAGCTTAAGTGGAAGGAAAAAGAAGAAGAAATGGAATTAAAAATGCATCAAAAAAGTGAGTTTTGTGGGATAAAACTTCAGTTGTGAGATCACAAATGATCTGAGAGAATCACTTTGGGATTGTTTTTGATCGTTGTTTTGGTAGATCTTGGAACAAAGCTCAAGTCGAACTTAAAAATAAATAAAAGAGAGCAACATGTCTTTAAAAGTGCAAATAAAGCCATTTATGTGGGATATTACTTCAGTTGTGAGATGAAAAACGTTAGAACAACATGTCAGAAATTGCATAATGTAAAAGAAATGATCTGCAAGATTTGCATTTCTGAATAAAAAAGTCTACAAGACGAAGTCAGAACTGTGATATTACCTATAAACTCACAACTGCAAGACAGAAATCACAATTCTGAGGAAAAAAACGAGAAGAATTGTAACCAAAACTCAACGCTAGATGATGAAAAAGTCAGATTTATGACTTTGATGATCACTTTAAGACTGTTTTTATCATTGTGTTTTGAAACAAAGCTTAAGTGGAAGGAAAAAGAAGAAATGGAATTAAAAATCCATCAAAAATGAGAGTTTTGAGGGCCATAACTTCAGTTGGGAGATCACAAATGATCTGAGAGAATCACTTTGGGATTGTTTTTGATCGTTGTTTTGGTAGATCTTGGAACAAAGCTCAAGTCGAAGGTAAAAAAATAAATAAAAGAGAGCAACATGTCTTTAAAAATGCAAATAAAGCCATTTATGTGGGATATTACTTCAGTTGTGAGATGGAAAACAGAACAACATGTCAGAAACTGCATCATATAAAACCACTGAGAGACATCATCTGCAATATTTGTAATTCTGAAAAAATGTCTTTAAACTCACAATTGCAAGAAAAAGTCACAATTTTGGACAAAGAAATAAAAAACTGCAAGATGAAAAAGCCAGAATTTCAAGTCAGGCAATACATCAAATCCAAGCTCACTCTGGGCTTTTGGAACAAAGCTTTTCAACTTGATTTTGGAGAAAGCTACTCCTTAAATGAACAATTCTAAAGTCCTCATTAAATTAAAATATGGCTATATCAAGCATATGGCTGAGAAATCTCTTACTCTCTCTCTGACCTGGAGACAAACTCAGATCAAATCATCAATACAGGGTCAAACAGTCAGACCGGTTCCCGCTGAAACAGGAGAAAGTGTGAAAAACTAAGGCAAGTGCTCTTCCCGCGGGCCAGTCCGTACATATAAAGTGACAGAAAACTCCTCACAATGATGCCAGTCAGTCTGTAGATGCGAACGATGGACAACTGCCGACACTAGAAGGTCTATTAAGCTACTGTAGTGTGGGTTTGAGTGTGTGTACTGGTTTTGGTGGTTTATGAGGACAGAAATTTGTATGATTTCGGTGTAACAACATTGAGGTGGTTTATGAGGACATGCCTTGTGTAGTTGTAATTAACTAATTATTGGGGGTAGAGTCAAATGAGTGTTTTTTTTTTACTGTGTAAATCACATTATGCCTATGGAGAGTCCTCATAAACCACCAACGTGTATGTGTGTGTTTGTACTGGTTTTGGTGGTAAAAAAGGGACCATGTTGTTAGTATAAGGTGGTTTAAACAGGACATAAATTGAGTCCTCATAATTTGAAATGCTCAAAACTTGATTTCGCATTAAAATCTTGGCACATTTTTCCTGTGAAGGTTGGGTTTAGAAGTGGGGACATATAATATCTGGTTTTTACAGTATGAAATACATCACACCTACGAGGAGTCCTCATAAATCACCAAACATTACATGTTGTACTGGATTTGCTGGTTTATGAGGACAGCAATCTGTATAATGACATTGGTGTGACCTAGTTATACTTATTAAGGTGGTTTTTAAGGACACATCTTGTGTCGTCGTTATTCAAAATAATAAAAAAAGGCTTTCTGTGAGGGTTGTTAATAGGGGTAGGGCCAAACGATAAGTGTTTTTAATGTAAAAAATACATTATGCCTATGGAGAGTCCTTATAAACCACCAAATACAAATGTGAGTGTGTGTGTGTACTGGTTTTGGTGGTTTATGAGGAAATTTGTATGACAAATGTGACAGAAATTTGTATGAGATTGGTATGATTTAGGTGTTTCAACATTGAGGTGGTTTATGAGGACATGCCTTGTGTCGTTGTAATTAAAAACACTTAAAAGTCATACTTAATGGGATTTTTCACATTCAAATTTTGCCACGTTTTTATTTTGAGGGTTACTTTAGGGGTTTGACCATAAAACAAGTGGTTTTTAGAATGTAAAATACATTACGCCTAAGAACAGTCTTCATAAACCACTAAAATGTGTGTGTTTATGGTTTTTGGTGTTTTACGAGGACACAAGTGTGACCTAGTTGTACATATTAGGAGGGTTTATGAGGACATGTTGTGTCCTTGTAATTCAAAATGCTTTAAAAATCATACTTAACAGGGTGTTTTAGAAGTAATATCGCGCCACATTTTTCCTGTAAGGGTTGGGTTTAGGGATTGGGACATATTAAGTAGGTTTTACTGTATAAAATACATTATGCCTAAGGAGAGTCCTCATAAAACACCAAAACCGACATGTTTTTATACTGGTTTTGGTGGTTTACGAGGACCAAAATTTGAATAATGACATGGGTGTGACCTAGTTGTACTTATTGAGAGGGTTTATGAGGACATGTCTTGTGTCCTTTTAACTTAGAACGCTTTAAAACAGTTCTTAACAGAGTATTTCATCATAAAAATGTTGTTTTTTGTGAGTGTATTTTTACTATATAAAATAGATTACGGATGTGGAGAGTCCCCATAAACCACCAAAACCAATGTGAGTGTGTCCGGTCCGTATGCATGTGTATGCACTTGTCTTTGTATCCCGGTGGGGACTTAAACCTGAATGTACACAGACTCATGGGGACTTGTGTCACCGTGGGGACCAAAATTGAGGTCCCTGTGGGTAAACATGCTCATAAAGCAGACAGAACGTTAAACGTAAAAGTGCAGATTGTTTCCTGTGAGGGCGTAGAGAAGAGGATTTACATTTTGTATAGTAGAACCATGTTTATGAGAGTCCCCACCGGGATATAAGAACAAGTCTGTGTGTGTGTGTGGGTTATTGTATATTGCAGGAGGAGCAGCAGGGATCGTCTTTATCGGGCTGTGCTGCGTAGTCCATCTGTCGCACAATCTCGGCGAAGAGTTCGTCCACCATAGTCTTGCTTTTAGCGGAAGTCTCGATGAAGGGACAGCCCCACTCCTCGGCCAGAGCCTGTCCCTCCTGCACAGACACCTCCCGCTCGCTCTCCAGATCCACCTTGTTGCCCACCAGGATCACAGGAACCTTCTCATACCTGCACCACACGCAAGCACATACAGATTTCAGCACATTTCTGCACATAATAATTTAATAACTCATCTCTAATAACTGATTTATTTTCTCTGTGCCATGATGACAGCACATAATATTAGACTAGATATTCTTCAAGACACTAGTGTTCAGCTTAAAGTGACATTTAAAGGCTTCACTAGGGTAATCAGGGTAAAGTTAGGGTAATTAGGCAAGTCATTGTATAACAGTGGTTTGTTCTGGAGACAATCCAACACAGATAAGGGGCTCTGCAGGTTTCACCAAGATATTTTTAAGACCATTATGAATGAAATTTTAGACTCAAAAAAGGCTAAAAGCAAAGGATTTCTTAAAATGGCCCAGATAGAAAAGATTTTTATTTGCCCATCACAGAAAATAATAATAATAATAAAAAAAATGTATATATATATATATATATATATATATATATATATATATATATATAT